AGCAATATTTTACGTTGAATTTTTCTGTTTCCAATTTTAGCCTTCATATCATTTCATTAAAAAATATCCTTTTTTAAAGTTAACGGTTAGCCTGACCTATTCCCCTGTAATCTTGCAAATCATGGCTAATTGGTAGGTGAATAGTCTAAATTACTTGCCATATGATAATAATGTGATCTTTTGTGCTTCTTTGCTACATATTCAGAGGAGCAGTCATTGTAATCCTTTCCCGGTTCTAATCAGAGACGTAAACCTATAAAATATACGAAATTCTAAGATTCCACACACACTGTGAGTGGTTGTGCCGACAATGTGTACTTAGTTATAGGCTTTTATCTCAACCAAGAATGGACACCTTTTTCGATACCGATTGGTTAAAAGGGGCTCTTAGCCCCATCCCTAGCTGAAGTGAAGGCGTCGATAGGCGAAATCACTTCAAAGCCGTTTTAGAAGCAAAATACATCCATTAACAGTATTCATTTTTGGGATACCAATTCACGAGGCTGGGATTCCGCGAAACACGTGGAAATACAGACAACCCTTTTAACCTTCGAAATTTCTTTATTAATTTACTTACTAATCTAATCCAACCGTTGTGACTTATTAGGTACGACTTAATACAGATTAAACAACCGCCCTCTTTTCTCATCGCTGAGGCGAAACCCAGTCAGACTAGATTTCACGAGCGAAGGCTATCCTTGGACATCTTGCTAGACAGAAAAAACGACTACACATAAAGATCCCGCAAACAACTTCCTTTATAGACAAAAAGTTGACTTTGGATGGGCCACCTTTCTGTTACGCCTTCCCCATTTATCTCTTCTTCTCCGGCCTTAAACTCCGAACAAAGAGGCCGATTTGATTGGGATATGTGTACTAGTTACTGCTTCCGTGTTTGGTAAGAAGGTGTCAGAAATCTCTCTCATTTCACGACCTGTGAGTATCTCGAACGGTGAATTACTAATTGATGTATGAATCGTAGCTCTGTACGCAAGGAGGACACGTTCTAGGCTTAAATTCCAGTCTTTGAGGTTGTATATCCTTGATAAATGCCTTTAGTAGTCCGACCATAGCGTGATTTGTTCTTTTCACCTGCCTATCATCATGCAGATGACCAGGTATTGTGCGTATCTTTCAGATCCAGAAAGTTTTGCACAGTTCAGTAGAAAGTCAGCTTTCGAAATTGGGGCCTCGATTGCTATGAATTGATTTGGTCACTCCGTGCTGACAAATTTACCAATAGAATAAAACCTGCTGTCGTTTCAGCTTCTCCTCTCTTCATGGATCCTGCGTCAACTGCTTTCGTGAAATAGTCTGTCATAACCTGAATATTGCCAGTTTCCTCTATTGGTGGGTGATAGAGGATCTATGATGGCCATACCTACTCTTTCACCTGAAAACTCTGTAAGCATGGGTAGCAGTAGCCCAATCCCCGTGAGGTGAGGCCTTTTAAAATTGTTTTAAGCGATACAGGTTTGTCAGAAATCTAGTACGTCTGGGGCAAGCAAAGGCAGCAAGTATCTTCTCTTTCAAGCATTTAGCATCTTCTTTTCACCCAAATGGCCTATTTGATCGCGTAACTCTTGGAGAACCGTTTGTACTAATGAGCCTGGAACCGCTAGTCGCTATGTTGACCCAACACCTTCTTCGTGCAATACAAACTGATTCTACAGAGATTGTTTACACCATTCCTGTTATATCCGTCTAGCTGCCCTCCTCTACGAGGTCATCTCTTTCACTGTAAGTTTGTAGGAGGATATAAGAAGACTCGCATGCAAGAGCCGGGTCGGCTTCGGTGCTCTGCGTGTTTCTCCCATCACGTTTAGCAGGCTCGCTCAAAAAAAGTGTTACTCGCTACAACAGTCCCCTTTTCTGCTGCGACTGGTCCTTTGAAGAGAGCATCTGCATTACTACGTGTATTACCTTTTATGTATTGAACTGTGAAACCATATTGCTGTGGTTCTGAGTACCAACGCACAACTGAACGGTCAATCCCCTTCATCGTTTTAAGCAGATGAGTACCTGAAACTCCTTTCTATGAACTTCCCCGCTATAGGGTAATGTCTGAAGCGTCTAACCATGGAGCAGATAGCAAACATCCCAAGTTTTTGCAATTTCTAACTCATTTTTTTTGCTGAGTCTGGTACTCGAGTAGGTGATGACGTGTTTCCTTCCTTCTTCGTCCCGCTGTAAAAGTACACTGCCTATAGCTGCGTTGACCACGTCCGTGTCCAGTACAAATGGTGGGTCGCTCAATTCAAAGTTCGGTAAAACTAGGAACAGTGTACAGCGGAGCATTTGTTTCAGTTTTTCAGAAGCTTTATCTTGTTTCTTCTCCCACTTGAAATTTTTAAATGTGCTTTTCGGTCAATATATGCAACGGCCTGACGATCTTATCAAAACCTTTAACAAAACGCCTGTAGTAATTTGCCAAACCTAAGAAACAGTGAAGCCCTGTCTGATTGTTTGGTGTTAGCTATATCTACTTGTTTTTTATGATCTTCAGTGACCGCCATTCCATTTAACGAGACTTTCAGTCCAGGATCAATCCTAATTTTAACAGGTTGGAATTATGTCCTCGAGTGTCTCTACCATAGACGAGAATGTCATTGAGGGAATAAGCCAATTATATAAGCCAATATATATGCCATCTTCGCTCTGTCCGTCTCCACCACTTCAACTTGCCAGTATCCTGATTTTAAGTCTGGAGTGGAGAACCACTTTGACCCATGTAGAAGGTCTAGCAAATCGTTTATCATGTGGGATAATGGGAATGCATCCTTCTGAGTTACGGCTTTCTAACTTCCTATAGTCGATGCACAATAGTAGGCTACCATCGTTCCTCTTTACCAGCGCGAATAGAGTCTCACGGTGACCTTGATAGTTTATAACCTCTTCTCGAATATCCTCTTCGACTAGACGGTGTACTTCTTTTAGCAGGGGAGATAGAATACGTCCAGGTAGTTACTAGATGGGTCTAGCTTCGCTGGTATTAATCGTCTTCTTTCGGTAGCGAAACATCTGCGTTGGCTTCAGTGCCATGGTAAATATAAAAGGTGCCTTCTGCAAAATCTAGATAGCTTTGATGTAACAAGAAAATCAGCACCAAGTATCACGTCCCAAGCCGGTTTTGGATCTATAATAAATTTCCTTTTCAGGTTTCTTTCCCTTTGCAGACCGCTAACGACGCCTCCGCTTTTACTAGCATCTCCCTTCCCTCCGCTGAACGTAATTTTGTAGAAGTCGAAATTATTGTAGTTTTGTTACAAGGAGTGGTGAAAGTCTGAAGATTTACCATTGATTTAGCTGGGCCCGAGTCAAGAAGGAAACTGCACGGACGCCCTTCTAGTTTACCGGGGACTCAAATAAATGAACGGAACCCGTTTGGGAGCAAACAGAATAGGGAGAAGGAAGGCCCACGTGACGTTGGGGCATATTTCAGAGGGGCGCAATGCGATGGTGTTGATTTTAACCATCTGTTGAACCTTTAGTGAAGCAAGGCCGTATAAAGTTTCTAACTCCTTTTGATTGTGAAATTGACTAGCTCCCTAATCGAGTTGATCTTTATGCCGCAGAGCCTCTCAATCATAATGGGTGGTTGAATCCCGTGTCTGAACCAGACGGTCATCCAGTTAGCAATCCTATTTGGAGGTGAGCCTCTAAAGGCACGTTCAGCTAGATGTTGAATATTTCTAGCTTACTTCCCGTCATGCTTGGCTGCTTTTTGGTGACGAATGAAGAGGTTCCTCGCAAGGGTCTCTTCTTCCCGATCAATGACGAGTGGAATTAGTGTCCCTTCATTGGTCAACGTCAGTGTCGTGGTTTAAATTGGCGTCTGTTGCGGCCGAAAACAATTCATGGGAAAAGCACGGAGGACTAGGGGTATTCTTTGGCATTAATGATAGAGGTAAAGGTTGAATTTGGGGGTTTTGGGACATTATTTAAAAATCATGTTGCCTTTAAAAGGGGACAGGCCCACCTACGCCACCAATTTTATTCAGCGTGTTCCTTCGTTTATCTCCTTCTCCCTAGCCTTCTTACCTTTTAGACGATCAGACTAATGTGATTAAGGCATTTCAATGAGAACCAATACAGATTTAAGGGGATAGGGATACTGAGCTCTTCTTGGCTTCACAGGATTCTGAGCACTCCCCTATCAGGATGTTTGCGTTATTTGCCCACCTCTCGTCCTAGAAGGTACATTTTAAACAGCATAAGTAGTATGTTTCCATGTTACCGGAGTGATTAACATGCCGAAACGGCGACCGAGTTTCGCATCAATATGTAAGATTTTGTGGGATTTTAAGCCCCCTCTCTTTGATTATTGTGACTGGTAAACATGGGTCTACTACCGATGTGATCTCAGCTGGCATTTGATCAATCAAACACGTTTCAGCCTTTACGGCCGTTAAAAAGGTGTCTTAGATATTGTTAACATACTGATTGACAACACTTTCTAGAGGTTTTAAATAAGTCATGTTGTCAGAACCAGAGTCCTGCCGTTCTTCCTAGCTGCTTTCTCGACTGTACGTTGGCAGTCGCCTCCATTGTTTGAAGGTAGACTGCCAAGTTGATCTAAGGACGCTTTGGTAAAAAAGCGGCATGAGACAATAGAATTGATAGGTGACAGCTCTGTGTGCATAACCTCGAGTCCTTTAATGAAAACTCCACACTAGCAGAACCACATTAGAAAAATTAGCAGAAGAATTAGTATATGATTCGGTGCTAGGGTTTAAAATGCTTTCTTTCGTAAATATTTACTTTAGATTTAATTAGAATTTGATCTCTGGTCAAATTAATCGTGTGAGAGCTGAAGTGATGTCAATTTCCAAACAAATCACTTCTGCTTTGCCCCATTTTACCTGCGCGGAGTTTAATCGTGATAAATAGCCTCTCTACCTCTCTCGCTCTTCCTCTCTGCCCAGGCATGTAAGCATTGCGCCCACCCAAGTGGTCGCTATCTCCTGTCACCCCCCCTCATCCTCCTATTTCACTGTCCAAAGTACGTTAGGCAAAAAAAGGAAGTCGAGGCTGTCTGTGAGAAATGGCGCGATAAAAACCGCCCATCGTGACGTTTCCTATATTTTGCGGTGTTTAAATTAGAGCCCTAATTTATTTGTCTGCTTTAAATCCGAATTATTCCAGCATAGATCCTCCTCGCTGGTATTGAACACCAAATTTATTTGCAAAAAGAACTAAAAATGTCTGCATGTATTAACGAAAAAATAAGGTGATATTTTTACTGGTGTGATTGAACAATTTCCCCTTCACCAAAAAATAGATATTTTTAAGTAAGGTGACTTTGACATTTGGACACAAGAAACTTGAAAATTAGTTCTATTACGATTTTGAACTATAAGTGCAGAAAGGACCAGTAATGTCCTTAACCACGTTTTATGAGTTGGTTCGATAAATTTTTAGACCACCTTTCAACTTACGGACCCAGTCTTTAGACGGCCCTACATCAGGCTACCGAAGATTACTTAAACTATAAAATTTAAATTTACTTTCAAAGAAGGTATTCACAGTAGTACCTTCTTTTTCAAAAATGGTTTAATCCGGACAGAGGAGCTTTCAATATAACTCTTATATTACTGACCAGGAGTAGATGTAATTACCTCTTGATGTGGACACTGAGGGCCTAGCTACTACTCAGATTTGGCAGTTCTTTGATGGACGATGGTGATGATATTGGAGGGGACAAACTAAAAGTAGTAAATTAGGTGTTGTTAAAGAAGGGGATCAGAATTATGAATATATGCTGACTGGAGGTGCGCACACATCTTGTGATTAAAGAGAATCGGAAGTTATCAGTTCGTAGACCCGAAAGTCAGCAATTGTCATGCGGCTTCAATTCTATTCGGCAATTCGAAAATGGAACTCCGTGGTAAAGTGAATGATGGGCGTTGTCAAAGCGCCATTTGTATCGTTTTCAGTACATTTTGTAATTTTATTGATGCGGAACGCATAGCCGGAGGTTAAGTGACAACCCACAAGCTGCTGCGGTGAACACATTGCTTCTTAATTTTCATTAAAAAAAATGAAAAAATGTTTTGAATAAAAAGTTTCGCTAGAATAGGTGAGGAGGCCCTGATTAGACATCATTTTGTCCGTTTGATCCACTGTGTTTGAGGCCACGCAGTTGAAAACAAAGCCAATGAATTTGCTGATAACCGATTGGATATTGCGCCATCTGCAGTCTCCTCACTTTAGCGCCGACAATATTCAACTATATAGACTAGGCTAATTAAACTCGACACATCCTAATTATCGCCATTATTATTAGGGGCGAAGACGTTGCATTTGTGATTGTGAAATGCTGCAATAGTTACTGATGGATCGTTAGCTTAAACCTCAGGATACACGAGTGGAGGAGAAAAATTATTAATGAGTTGTGGTAGATGTACCTATGTATGTTTATTCACTACTTTTTTTGAACTGATAGCGTGCGGGTACCAGTGACCCTCCAAAACGATAATTAATTGACAACTATTTGTCCGCCTTCATTCGTTAATCATACGAGCAACTACTGCTTCTGACTACTGGGGATGTCTACAATCCTGTGTTGATTTCTTGCAAGCTTTCACACCCAACTACTTCCCGATCATTCCAGAACACTGCATTCTCGCCCGCTCCCTCCTGATTAATTGATATCGCGGTAGTACTCACAATAGGGACAAGGTTAACCAAGAGCTATAAATGCACGGCACTTGAACCGCCCTGTGTCTCCAACACCTTCCACTAGTGGGTTAGTTGTCGAATAGGGCACGTACTGTCTCCCCTTCCTGTTTACTTATGCACGTTGGTGAATAGAGGCGTCTGAATCTGAACCCTTCGTCTACTCCTAGTTACTCCGGCTACAACCGTGACGATACCCAAATTCACGAATAAAAAAGCACAAGATCGTAACACCAACCGGAAGTGTTTATTAAAAAAAATAAACTAGATACAAGGCGGCCATCTGATATCCCCAGAAAAGGTCGTTAAGGTGTGTTATTTATAGAACCTCTATAGGCTCAAATACTTGCATTTCTTGGTGGACCACAAGATCGCATGTGCAGGAACGTGTTGTTGGTGAGAAATGTGCGCATAAAAGTATAAATTCAATGTGCTCAAATGCACTCTTGATTCTGCATTCCATGATCGGTAAACTTCGCTAGCCCCGCTTACCCGCTTCCCGAATGCAGGCATGGTAATTCAGTCAACACTCTCGGGTCGCATTTAGGCATGCAAATGGAGTGATATATGGGACAGGGTTTCTGGGTTGGTGGTTTGCAGAAATTCATCTGCTCGCTTTGATGTAGCTCCCTCATTTTACCCCACCTCCGCATTTCCTACCCAACACCCTTACCCCTACTTAAGGGAAAGCTGAAGTCTCGCAATTCATCGCATCTTGTCTGAGTTTGAGAGACATTGGATACATATACTGGATGGGTTTGGAAAGCTTAATCAAAATAAATGTTGCTATTTTGCAGTCTCGTGGCAAGGAGACGTTTTGCTGCCAGACGAACCTTACTCAGATACCCCTACTTGACTTAAGCCATATGCAGACGATTTTGTGTGCCAGTTTTATTTCTTCTTATTACGTCCGAATGCTAATCATGCCACAGGTAACCGGCAGAAGTCAATCCGACAGGTCAAATGGCACTTGTCAAGATATCGATTTAGTCTAATAATGGAGGGTATGCATTTAACTCATCTTCCTTCTTTTCACAGATAAACGATTTGGATGTAGAGCGTTTGTTTCTCCCCCCCCCCCCCCGGCTCTGCTGAGCGAGAAATCAACGGAGCAGAGGTAAGCCCTCATTACTAAGTGCGTGTTTACAAGTCGACCCTGATTCTTGTGTTTAGGCAACTATGGTATACCGATGCAATTTCTAGCCTCAAGACAAATTAATGATGACTGGAAGGCCAACTTATCACCTCTTATAAACAATGATCAAAGAGGGCATGACTCTTAACTAGGCACAAATGTGGTGAGAGACGAGGCAAGGGTAAAATTTTCTACTAAATTTTTTGCTTGTCTGAAGTCTCGAAAAAAACAACGTCTAGTCTTTCCACTCATGCATATGGGCATTTGGAGAATTAAACAACCATGCAGATAAGAATAATTAACATTAACAACTAGATGAATCGCCTGTAACATTAGTGGCAGCAGACCTCCAACTTTACTTGGGAATGATATTCCTTTCAAAGAAAAAGGGTTAAGTCAATTCTGGGTTCGAGCTAACTCCTAGTGGCTGGGAATGGGGTTGCTTTTGTGAGTTAAACAACACCTGTCATTAAATGTATCAAAACTTCCTTCTCCAAAATCATGCCACTGCTTCCCCTCTAAGCTTCATTTTAATGTACATGGAGAAAACGCAGAAAAGGACAAAAAGTGATTGCGCTATTTCAAACAGTATCGCCCGTTGGTGATGGCGTTTAGGATTTGCTTGCGTGAGTGCTCTTGTGTCGCCTTTCGATAAGGAAATGTCACGCGGATTTACGATTATAACGGAGCATTTGTATCAATACAAGGTGGTGTCCCGCCTTCTAAGCCAAATTATTTGCTAAATGCACAAGAATATGAACAATCAAACCACATAACTTAACTGCGCGGGTGATGCCTAGATCTCTAAACCCATCTTGGCTATTAACATCACCCAGATGACAGCAATCAGAAGTGGCCAAGGTACTGACTAAAACGATTGTTTTTCTTGTCCATTGTGGTAAAATGCGGTTCTCAGTGGATACTTAATAGCAGCTGACGAGGGTTGACACTTAGAGAGAGGGACAGTTATCCAAATCAATGTTTATGAGTGTTAAGTGATCGCCTTTGCAGGCGGTGACCATCCGGGGGTGCAAGTGACAGTAAAATTTTAGAATAGAGGTAGTGCTAACAAATACTTCTGTAAAAAGGTCGCTTCTGACTGCAAGATATTAACACTTTCTCCGGCTAGATAACTTTGACAGATGACATGATCAACTTGGGTTCTAAATATCTCCAATGGACAGAAGGACATTAAAATGGACCAAAAGGCTTAACTTACTACATTTTTTGTCCTCCAAGGAATCATTCTATACTTCTGTAGTTTTACCTCTAAGTATCAAAAAAAACTGGCAGCGGTTTTTAGTCCACTGCGCTTCGATCGGGATACCGATCTGGGGCGTCAGTTAGTGTTGATTGATCGCCAATCGATATTCGCTAGACCAGTATCAGCATTGACATGGCAGCTACAAGAAGTCGAGTTCCCCAATGTGTTTTCCGGTAATTAGAGTTCAAGTCCCACAGTTTATGACGATCAGTTTGTAATTAAAGCGAGGAAAGGAAACGAGACGGTCCCTCCTAGGCTGACGTTGTTTCTGCACGGCGACAGAAAATAATTCTCGTCTCCCTGTCACCTTCACCTCCTTCTTTAATCCCCTTGCTCAAGTCAATTAAAACAGGAAGTAAAATTTTGCTGTCATCAAGATCATCAACTTCCGGAGAACGCTG